CTTTGGCCACTTTATGACTTGTGGACCTCAACATGGCTGGCTGAGAAATTCTGGGAGTTGAAGTCCACAAGTCCTAAAGTGGCCACGGTTGGGGACCTCTGCTCTACAGGTAGTCCTCGACTTACAACCATTTGCTTAGGGACTGTTCAAAGTTACAGCGGCATTGAAAAACAGTGATTTATGATTGTTTTTCACTCTTACAACCATTGCAGTATTGCAATCAAAATTGGATGCTTGGCAACTAGTTCATATTTAAGATGGTTGCAGTGTCCCCGGGGTCATGTGATCCCCTTTTGCGACCTTCTGACAAGCGAAGTCAATAAGGAAGTCAGATTTACTTAAGAACCATGTTATTAATTTAACAACTGCAGTGATTCACTTAACAACTGTGCCAAGTAAGGCCATAAAATGGGACAAAACTTACTTAATAATTCTCTCACTTAGCAACAGAAATTGTGGGCTCAATTGTAGTCGTAAGTCAAGGAGTATCTGTATCACAACCCATTATTGGTATATAGCCCTCGATGATTGTCCTGAAGGGCATGCAGTCCCTGAAAAGAAATAAGAGGTTATCTGATTTAAACATATCAAAGTATTTTATGCAAAGTGGCCAACGGATCAGAAGCTTGTAGAGCTCATAAAATTAATTTTAAAGCAGCAGCTTTAAATGTTAATGGGATCTTGGGTTATTGTCTCAAGTTGCTGATCCTCTCCCCCACCCACCCTTTTTTTTGGCACTGAAACTGGGAGAGAAGAAGCGCTCAAGATAATTATACAGTGTTGTGAGAAATAAAAAGGAGAGAAGGTGAGAGGTGAAGTTCTGGGCCTTTATTTGATGAGTAAGTATGTAATCATCCTGCAGTGCTAAGCAATTGCCAAAATGAGCTATACGACAATTCACTTCGCTCTTGTGAATTAGAGTCCGTAACTAGGAAACATTGTATATGGTAAAAAATAAAGCTGCTTCTAAACATACTAATTTTATAGTATCCTGTCTCAAATATAGAACAAAGGCCCAGATGATGTCTTCGAGGTTGCTTGTTTTTCCACAGATTTTTTTTTTATCAGTAGCCATTAATAATTGAAGAGAACTCATATTAAGATTCTTATATTGACTGACAATTATTTCAGCCTACTACACTGCTAAGCATAAAGGGGTGGATTGTTGGTTCATTTCTCTGGATATTGCTGGCTTCTGGAATCTGCTTTTATGTTATGGTTTCACAAAACAGCAAAGAAGCCATAGGGGAATTTGAACTTTTCAAGTATGGATCATATTTTAATCAGCAATCTTAGCTATTTGATTTATATCATTTTCTGCAACCAGCTAAGGATATTTATATTTTATATCCTCAAACTGCTTCTCTCCTTTGGAGTTAGCTACTTGTTATGAGGAGTGACAAATGTAAGAGTGGAAAACTTTCTAAAGAACTTTCACAGTTCCACTGTGCACTAGCTTAACCAGAGAAATGCTAAAAACTTTGTTCATTGGTAAATCAACAAAGCCATGCTCATTGAAAAACCTGCAGCCCAAAGATCTTCCCATCACCTAGAATTTGTAACAAATCTGTATGGATGACTGCTATCCTATTTGAGGAGTGGATAAGAGGTATTGACGGAGAAATGAAGAAGAAACTGTCCGTTCTCCTTGTAGTAGACAATTGTCCTAACCATCCCCAAATCAATCATCTTACAAATATGAAACTGAAATGTTTCCCTCCAAACACTACATCAAAAATTCAATCTCTCAACCAAGGCATAATCAAAACATTCAAAATGCATTACAGAGCCGTGGGTCACTGCTAAAATGCAAACCTATGGTCCATCTTCAGAAGCAGTTGTTCTGTAGGTTGATCATCTCTGTATGTTTACCACTTTCTTTCTGTCCCTTGGGTGGTAAATTTTCAGAGGTTTTACTGTATATTTGTTCCTAGATTTTGCATTAATTTTAATAAAGTGTTCATGGTTAATAAACAGTAGGTATCACCCTCTAAAGTTTTCCGTTGCCAGCCTTCTGTTCAGTATTAATTATCTGCAGGCTGTTTTCCCATATTTTTATTCTTATTTGGTTTATATATTCAGTATTGTCGATAATCAGTTTAATAGGGAAACATATTCTTGATGTATTAAGCCATTAAAAAACAAACGAGAGGGGAGTGGCGTGTATTTGAGTTAATTCAACTTGCTCACCCATTATTGTATATAAACTTTGTTTTTTAATCTCCTCATCTCATATGTCACAGTGGCTTGCTTCACTTTTATTATCAGGAAACGTAATGTTGTGACCGTGACTGTAAAAGCATTTGCTAAAAATTGCCAGAACAGAACTTAAAGTTATGTTTTATTTTTTCTAAAATTATCTTTGGTATCAAAGGAAATTAGTATAAGCCCTTAAATGAAAGCTGCCTGAGGTGTAAAAATCTATATGACCATTAAATGGGTATTTTGCAGCCCATACATGATAGCCCTATTTTAAATCCATCTGTTATAGTGTTATAAGTGCCACTATCCAGTAAAAGCAGCTAGTAAGGAATAACTCACAGGTGACTCTCTTCTTTTTCTTCCTGAAAAGAATTATGCCCAAAAAGGAAAGCTGCATTTATTTTCTATGTGCACACCTTATTCCTAGGAAATAAAACATCAATTGTCAATAAACACAGAGTGGATTTCTTTAGTTTTCTAAGTTGTGAGAATCTCTTTGTATACAGATTGGTATTTGGACAGTATACATTCTTTTTTGCAGCTCTGATGTTCTTGATCACTTTCATTATGTCCATCAAAAAAAAAATCTACTCTATTGTGTATCATGTGCATCCCACGCTTTAAGGTTTAAGCTACATTTATAACTACTTTTCCCCTCCTTTTTTATTTTCACAATGATCCAGTGTACTCAGGACTTCCCAGGGTCATCCAGTGTTCTTGCATGGCCAAGTAAGAATTTGAATATAGGCCTTAGTATATGTAATTATTGCATTCAGTCTACTATTCTACTTGGCTTACACTTGTCTATCATGTATACTGCTTATCAAATCTTCATCTTGGTCATCATATGAGCCTCCAAGAAAAATTAATTTTATCAGTAGTGTTGGTAATGGTCTATCTAAGTAATTGTAGACTCTATTCCTAGTCTTATACATTCAGCCATTGTAGATACTGTTCCTGTTTGTTAATTAAACTTTGTTAATTAAGTTGGTCCTTATTGTAAACATGATTGTAAGTCTCCTGTCCTCTCTTGTCCTCATTTTCAGGTATAATGTGTTACTGAGATTATAGGCAGTAAACCCAATGGAGTTGCTGAGATGAATTGCACACAGAAGTGTTCTTTACTTAAAATCATTTTATATCAAAGGAGAATATTGAGATCAAGAGATGTTGGTTTCCTTCAGTGGCCTCAACCTGGTTATAGGAGGAAAGACATTTTTCAGGAATAATATTTTAGAACTATGATTTAGCATGTCCTCAAGTATGGCAGAACAATGTATGACTATAATTGGGCTCTTCTTTCTTTCTTAGCTGATAAGCCAGGTATTATCTAAATCTCAACCTATGGGTCGTGACCCCATTTGGGGTCGATCGACCATTTCACAGGGGTCGCCAAGCAAGGCTGTCCGCCATTTTTTTCCCCTTTTCCGGCGGGTGCCTTACCTCCCTTGGGCTGGGCCAGCTGGTGGCCCAGCCGGTGGTCGGCCTGCTCCATCTGCCACTTGCCAGTACGCCTCGGCCAGCGCAGGGGGCGGCACCACGCATGCGTGGCGCTCCCGGGCAGGAAAAGTCCTTGACTTACGACCAGTTGGGTAGTCCTCGACTTATGACCGGTTTAGTCCTCGACTTATGACCAGTTAGGGGTCACGGTATTAAAAAGGTTGAGAACCACTGATCTAAATGGAGGTCTTTGGGTGTAATTAACATGGAGATGGACAGTTAAGAAATATGAAATATAAATAAATAAATCAGTTTAAAATTTATAGTCTTCTCTGACTTGGATCTCTTTTACAATTATCACAGAATAGGCAGCTTGCATTTTAATATGTAAGGTGTTGTAGTGTTGTAATGTCCAAACTGAGAAAGAAGGTAGATTTTTATTTTAGGATATATGCTTGCTGAATCTCAATACTATTTTTGATTTAGGTTATCATGGGTGTCTCGATTTCTTATTATTACCTGTTGTCAACTTCCATGATCTATACTATGCAAGCTGTTGCTTATCAGCATATTAAAAGGGGTTTAATAAAAGAAATTGGTAGAGTGGTATACTTACTCCCTCAATACGCTATAGTGGGAAAAATAGTAAATTTAATTTTTCATAATTGCTTTCTTCCACAGACTCTTGGTTTTTCTAAAAATAACAACCTGCCAATTTTTTAATAACTTGAGGTAGTTTTCAGGTCTTAGTTTGTTTTTATAATGCAGCATATTATTTCTTCTGGGGAAAGTAATAACAGCTTGGTACTGCATAATCAGAACCAATATATAATGCAGAAATATGAATAGTTGTGCATTTGATTGCCTATACTTCATTGTGAACAGTCACTTCCAGGCAACTCAGTTCAGAAATTATAGAATAGGCAAGCGATAGGTAAATGGGCTTGTGATTTCTGTAAATCAACAATGGAGTGAGATGCCTGGGATTTGAATTCTTGCCTAAATCTTAGACCCTGGAAACAGATGTGACTTTCTAAATTCAACTGCTTATTGAAAGCTAAAGCACAAACGTTGAAAAGAAAGCTTATCTTTATATTGAGCTTTCTTTTCCTCCATAGTCAGTAAGAGTGTCAGTTCCAAACAGAAACTTCCAAAGCAGGCGGGAGAAATATGCAATTGAAGTTAGTCGATACTTCTTTTGTTTTTGAGCAGCCAGTTTTCCACACTTTCTAAAGAAAGAACAAACCTTGATGAAAAGCCTAGCAAGCGGTGTTAAATGAGCAGAGAAGACATACATCAAAAAGTGCAGCATCTTATTCGCAGAGGTTAATTGTATCTTTCTCTTCTCTCACTGGCAGAAGCTGACAGCAATCAGAATTACGTGACAACAGAGCCTCAGTTGATCTTCTATCCCAGCGTTACCTATGCAGTCATTGGCAGCTCTGCTATTTTTGTGTTGGTAGTGGCCCTCCTTGCCCTAATTTTGCACCATCAACGAAAACGCAACAACCTCATGACACTTCCCGTTCATCGACTGCAGCATCCTGTCCTCCTGTCTCGTCTCGTCGTCCTTGATCATCCTCATCAGTGCAATGTCACCTATAATGTTAACAATGGAGTCCAGTATATGACCACCCAGGGCTATCATAGACCACCAGATTTGGATTCACCACCATCTTATTCAGAAGCTGTGTTAGATCAGAGGTACATGCAACAGTGTAACCAGTGGAGTTACACCTGTGTTTTAAACCATTTGTCCTGTTTTTTTGTATACAGTACCTGATGCTTTTCTATCATGATAGCTTCCGTTAACAACTTCACCACCCTTGCTTCATTAGCAATGATTTTACTAGGTTGATGCCTCATAAACTGCTTCAATATTTAGACCCAAATTTCCTCCCTGGCTATTTACTGTCATTAAGGCAAGTCACAATTGCTACAGTTTGAACTTTGCCACTCAGCATAACTTCCTCATCAGTACAGGAATCCATTTTAAAGTTCTGCTGAAAGAAATCTGTCTATTTTTCAATTTCAAAAATGATTCTTTCACAATTGAAGTATGTAATGAAAATATATGTGGAGTTCATCTTTTGGTCATACGTACCAATTTAGCTCATCAGAATGAATTGGACTTTATTCAGTGGAGAGGCCATTTGCAGTTAACCTCCCCTTTTGTACCGTAATCAAGATGCATTTGATGCCATTTTCATCTCACGAAAAGATTACTTTTCACTTGTGTTTGCTGTTTTCTTTAAAAAAAACTGAGGCAGATATGTACAATATTTCCAGAATAGTGAGGAACAGAGCCTGAAAAAATACACACACACTCCTGTTTTCAAACTTTACCTTCCAATGTGACATATAGTGGGCAATTCTGCACTTCATTGATATTGGCTGGGAGTTGTTTAATCACTATAAATAATTTAAAGCAAATGAATTTTTTAAAAAGCTTGTCTTTGAGTAAACGGACAACAAGTTGCACTTCAGCATTAATAGCATCACTTGATGCATGTGAGATTCTTACAAACTGATCACAATTTGCGCTAAAGAGACAATCAGTTGTGTTTCTTAGTAACAATATATTGGGAATATATTTGAGAGGAGGATCTGGATCCATTGAGAAAAATTAAAAATCAATTTATAGTATCTCTGACCCCCCCCCAAAGGGGGGGTAATACAAAACCATGGCCACTAATAGTTTATCATTAAGTGGTGCATATATGCATTCTACAGAATTTAATTTAATTCCCCAAGCTTTTAAGATGTAGCTCTTGAAAATCAATGAGAAGTCCCTTTCAACAGCAAATACCAATTCAATATATTTATCTGCAGTCAAGTGTAGGGATTTTTTTGTTTTGTTTTTAACATATGAAGCCAGTCCATTAATTTCTTGATTTTGCTGTTAAGATTCTTACTGATTTCGGTGGTGATAATGGGAATGGGTGACTGCAGCTTGTGTAATGCTGATCAACTTCTAGTATGTCTTCAGTTTGGTTCTGCAGGCTAGTTCTGTATCATTGCAACCCTGAAAGAACAATCAGCATTGTACTGAATAAAATGTTTTCTATCATCATGCTTTCTGTTGCAAAAAATACAAATCACTTTTTTGTTTTCATATGAGGAGAAGCCATTCTAAGCATATTTTGTGAGACGCAATACTTTTAAACAGAATTGCTCCACCCCTCCTTATTCTTTCCAGTGCAAAGTAAGGTCAGCTTAACCTACAGTAATACATAACTATAAACCATTGTATCCCAAAGATGCTTTTTTCACGAGGCAACTGAACTTTATTGTTTTTCTTTGAAGACATCTTCAAAGAAAAACAAGAAAGTCCAGTTGCCTCGTGAAAAAAGCATCTTTGGGATAACTATGACCTGGATGACTGAGAATCTGCACAGACATAAAAACAATTGTAGTATGTTTGTGAGATGCCAGATTATATCTTGAGAAGCCTGAGTCTTGGTGGATTCCTGAGGCTTAGCTTGTCCACCATCACTTTGTGCAATTTTCCTGACCTGACTGGTAGTTGGCCTTGGAGGGACTGCAATCATAAAATAAAATTCCTAAAATGTAACCTACTCATTATTTTTCTCTTCCAGTAACATCAAAAATTGCAGTTTAATAATACTGAGGCCAAGCAGTACTGGGTATAGGCTGAATGGATGTTTCTGGCTTCTGATCAAAAGTTATTTGTCAAAAGTCAACCCATCAAGTCCATTCTATTGTGACTTGGGCATTCAAGTAATAAAAATTTTGTAAGCATTCTTATTGTAATAAGGTAATTTGAACCGGGCAATTTTCCAAGGATGAATGAGTAGAAACCACTCCCTTGCTTAGTTGAAAGCTGCAAGTAATGTCACTGGAAAACCCTGTTGTTTTAGGATAAGATAAGATTATCCCCTGGATTTCCAAAGGTTTGAAGCATCTGAGGGGTAAAATATCCCATTTTCATTCTTAAATTCTTCCAGAATGGCCTTTTGAATGTCACAAATGGGATGGTGGGCAACATAAGTGTTATGAGTGGTCCATCTGTGTCTTTATAACTTGGTGAAGCAAAATTCAGATGCTGTTTATTTCATACATCTGGTAACTTGGTATCTAATTTATCCTTTGCAGCAGACCCCCATGGTTTGATCTTCCTCCACCTCCATATTCCTCAGAAACAGGATCCCGTAATCACTTAGATCTTCCTCCATATCGTTCTCGAACTGGAAGTGTGGTAAGCACAGATGCTTCAGAGGCAAGAGGTCCAGAGACTTTGGACAGCAGTCCATCAAGAAACCTTTTTACTACTATGGAGTATCACAGTACGCTGTGTGAAATTACAGCTGAGCAAAGTGACTCTCTGAGCAACTCAATTTCTGTCTGAACACTGTAAACAATTATTTATGAACATTTTTATGGATGTCTGCTTGAACTTCTACTGAAATTAAGAAGTCCCAAATCGTTTGGCCTTTTTCGACTTGATGATCGCAAGTGTTTTTGTGAAAGGAACAAGAGCTATGTGGATTGCCATTAAACAACTTCCCTCAATCATTTCAAGGGAGAATGAGCAGGAAGAGATGCCAGTGGCCTCAGTTGTGCTAGATTTAACTACTGAATTATGAAGGTTGAAGCAATTGAGAACAACAGTTCATTTTCACTTCTTCTCTCTCATAACATGCTGTTAAAGCCGATCAGGTATTTACTGCAATTCATGTACTGAAATCAAACCTATATACATACACATGTGCCTCAAGACATGCCTGTGTTTCAAATGATCTTTATTGCTTTAAAAAAAATCTTATTTATGATTGTAAGAATGTATATAAAAATAATAGTAAATGAGTCTTGCATTATGCAAGTATTGAACTATATTGCTGATGGCATCTGGAAGTCCACTTCTCTCAGTAGAAAAATAAAATCCTGAAGAGTCATGGGAAATATCATCTGTACAGTTTAACCTATATTGTGTTTAAATCACAAGCTCTGCTATGGAGTAAACTATTATTACTTCAGTAAGAAAAATTAATATTTTTTGATGGATAGGGTAAAAAGGATTTTAAGCCATCTAAACATTAATGGAATTTGACTAGGAGCTAGCTACTGATTAGGAGACATATCTTAGAGTCATGTTGAGTGGTTCAATGAAGATGCCAACTCAGTATGCAGCTGCTGTTACAAAAGAAAATTAAATGAAAAGGAATTCTGTTTTGGGAATTTTTAGAAAGGGAATTGAAATAGAATTGCTGATATTCTAATGTCCTTATATACTGTATATCCATGCGGTGATTGCACTTGGACAATTGAAATGATTTGGGGGGTGGAATTGCTTTCCAGCAAGAAGAAACTATAGCTTGAAATGAAGGAGGGTAAAGGAAACAGCTAGAAGTCTACAAAATCATTCACAATATAGGTAAATGATCGGAGAGAAGTTTTATCCGTTTCTCCATGTTAGAGCTGGAGATCATTCATTGCACAAAATGTAGGGCATTTAGGGTCCTCAGAATGAATTACTCTCTTATACAGCATGTAGCTGATCTATGGAATTTGCTGCCAACAGTAACAGCAGCAATTTGGATGGCTTTAAAAGGGACTGGACAGATTCATGCAGGATCAGGCCACCAAGGTCTACCCTTATTTGTGGCCATTTGCTTTCTCCCTGAGTCATCAACAATGTGCCTTATGTACTGGAGGCCATCTCCTTGCAGTCCAGGTTTTGAGATTCTGTGGTTTAGAATATGAGACTACATAGCCTACAGCCTGATTGAAGAAGGCTCTCATATTCATCTGGCTATCACAGTGCGCCTGATTTCAGCTTTCTTTCTCATAATGAAGAATTTAAAAAGTCTACCTTGTATTCTTTTATAATTAGTATGTGTAACTTGGTGTTGTGTGAACCAGAGTTTAGCATTCTATCTTGCATAAGTGTAATATAACAATTTGGTGGCTTATTTGGTTACTTATTTTGACAGATGTACCCCCCCCCCTCTGTTTGTGTGTGTGTGTGTGTGTGTGTGTGTGAGAGAGAGAGAGAGAGAGAGAGAGAGAGAGAGAGAGAGATATGAAGGAGCATTAGGCTGTTTATGTGTCAAAATGCAGTTTTCTGGTTGTCTGGAAAATAAATATATTTCGTCTGGGCATGCTTTGAATTTGTCATTGTGAAAGAGAAGATTACAAATGTTCCATTTCCTCTCTCTGCATGTATATACCTTTGAGAGAGATTCTGAGTGCCTTGGAGTTCATATATCAGTTTGCAGAGCTTATTAGACTTGTTGCGGAATATCTTTCATACGATGAAACTGAAACTTCTTATAAAAAATAGTGCCAGTTCATGATAGCATTTCCTTGTTGAGGAATCATAGGACTGATTCATTCCTTACATAGCATGCTTATTTGCTACTTATACTTCATTATTTAAATTGTTAAGTATGAGGTGGAGGTAGATACTAGCACTTCTTCCAATATATTTACAAACATGTACCTCTTTTACATACCATATCCTTTATCTTTAATGTTGGTGCATTTTGGAATGGTGTGAATCAGCTTTTAAAATTATTAGCATTATTCATATAACTCTAAAATAGTGAAATAAGAATCAGATAGTTTTAAAAGCATGACAACAAGATTGGGATTTTTGTTTGTTTGTTTATTTTTACCCAAACATAAGTGTTGGAATCGTAGTTCTTATTGGGAAGATTGAATGGGCATTTTAACCCTTTGCCCACTTTTGTGTCCAATCCAGCTCAAGAGCCTAAGCCCTAACATTGTAGTTGTCAAATTTGTGTGATTTATTAATTCATCAATGCAAATTTCAGGCTCAGGCCATCTGATCTGAACTGGCATTGAATTAGCAATAAACATTACAGATATTCTTTCTTTTTTGAGAGAGAGTTTTATTGGACTGAGGTGCATAATGTTTTTTGAGTAAAGACATATCAGTTACTTATATATGTAAAGTAATGTTTTGTGTGACCCTAAGGTACTATTTTATTACATTACATACATTACATTTTGTGCACATTCAATCATTGCCCTTTCTACAATACAGTACAATGCCTGTAAGCTGTATATATGTATATTTATATTGAAATACTTCAGTTTGGACTCTGAAAATAAATCCCTTTTTCTAAGTGTATCTTTTCATTTCCTGTTAGAGGTTTGAATTAATCAAGAGATCTTCTTAGATATATGATCCTGAACATAAGCAAAGCACTGAAAGAATACTGAGTAATTATATAGCAGATCATCCCATTTGAAAGGAAAATAAATATTGCTTATAATATAGTTGTCTTGGACACGGGGTAGAGGTTTGACTTACTGTCGGTAAATGCTAATAGACCAGTATTATATGTGAAGTAAAATAAATTAAGAAATAACGAAGCAGACAAAAACTGGAATCAACCAGTATGTGGGAAACTGGGAACAGGAGAGAATCGGGAGTAGGCGGTGGAGAGGCAATACCAGAGATGTTGTGATGGGCCTAGAACACAGAATAATAGAGATGGAAGAGATCTCAGAGGTCTTCTAGTCCAGGGCTTTTTCACCAGTGGCACCTGGCGACCATCCTAGAAAAGTGGTAGTGGGGGAGGGGAACGAGCTGAACCGGTGGCAGCACCCACAAGCCTGAGCGAGAGATGGCTGGAGCTGCAGGGTTGCCAGGGCTCAGCAGAAGGGCCAGGATCAGCGCCAGTCTCCAGCTGGAGCTCGGCGCTGATCCTGGTGCTTCCACTGAGCCCTGAAGAAGCACCAATCAGCTGGAAAGCAGCACTGATCCTGGTGCTTCTGAGCCCAGAAGAAGTGCTGATCAGCTGAAATGTTGCAGCATCTCCAGGGTCTTGTGATTTACATTCAGATGCTTGGCAACTGATTCTTATTTATGACAGCCACAGTGTCCCAGGGTCATGTGATGTGACCAAAACCTGCTGTAACCACCAAGCAGACGGGAATAAAAACCAAGCACTCCCTCACCCCACCCCCGCTCCAGTCCTCAACAGAAATGCTCACAACAACGAAAACCTTGGACAGGAGGAAGAGTGCCGCTGGATGGGCATGCTGGTGTCTTGCTCGGCTGTGGCTTGGGGGACACTTTTTTCAGTGCCATTGTAACTTCAAACAGTCACTAAGCGAACTGTTGTAAGTCGAGGACAACCTGTATTTTATCACTTTTTTCCTCTTTTGGGGGGGTCATCAAGTTTTTGACACCTTGCTAGGCGACTGGTGGTACTCGGATGTTGCCATATCCTAAAAGTGGTACAATGGGTGAAAAGGTTGAAAAGTCCTGGTCTAGGGAAGTTCAATTTGTTATTTGGTAGAGAGACTAAGGAAGTTAACCTTGATGGACATATGTAAAGCAACAAATGGTGAAATATATCTTAAGTCCAGAACAAAAAAAATGTGCAGAAGCAGCTCAGACACCTCTCTATTTCGCAGAAATATAAGAAGGGAGAGGAGGTACAGCACAATTAGACAAGCAAGATTATTATTATAGCCCTCTTTTGGAAATTAGATAGGATGCTAACTGTAAAAGATTTGATATAGCGATGGCCTATTGAGGAAAGCCAGAGGGGAGAACCTTCCCTCAAGTCAGCTGAGGCCTTAAGTGCAGTCTGGAATTAGTATGACTTGGAAGTCTCGCTCAGGCTTGTGGGTGCTGCCACCGGTTCAGCTCGTTCCCCTCCCCCACTACCATTTTTCTAGGATGGTCGCCAGGTGCTAATGTACCACAGATGCAAACACACATCTTCATTGCGTAAGTGCAGGGCATGCACGCCTGTCACTCACATGAGTGGGACTGTGAGCCCCAGCATGCACCGCTCATGTTAGTCGGGCTACGTGCATGCCGCCACTCACTCAGCCTGGCTGCAAATAGTGGGCTGTGACCCACAGGTTGGGGACCCCTGAGTTAAACAATGTCATCTAGTTAGGACCACAGAAGTATGCCTTCTATATTGCAATGCCAGCCCTCTGAAACACCATCTTCTCAGAAAATTCCCAACCTACAAAGATTTTTTAAGTCTTTAAAAACTTGGCTTTACTCCCAGGTCTGAAGTTGCTGTTTGTTTTGCCCCTGGCGGATTTTCTGTGGTAATGTACTGATGCTTTTGTCTGGATGTATATGTCTTTTTCTCTCTTTTGTGTTTTTTTAAACTATATAATCTACCCAGAGATATTCTAGAGTCAGGTGACCTTGTAAATCTAAAAAAAACAAACACATCATTATTTGGTCTCCGGGAATATGAAGTTTCAGCTCCTTACATTCATTTAAGTTTAAACTAGACATCTTTTCCTCCTAGCCTTCCCGCTACTTAAAGGAAATCCAGCTTTACATTTTTTTTTTTAATGCTTAATGCTAGGGGGCAGTTCATCATTGACATTCTTAGCATTTCTGCCCTGGGAAACACTTCTTCCCAATATATCTTCCACCTATGGCACAAGACATGCTTCATCTGAGAAGGATTGATAAAAATGTGTTAGCCTAAAGATGGCAAGACTGATTAAGAGGTTTAAAGTGAATCTTGTGGTTGGTGGAGACAAATGCTCTGAAAATAAAGACTTAAGTACCAGAGAAGGAAATCCGAGTGTTGCTATAATGAGGCCCTATTAAAACAGTGAAAAATGAGAGGGAATAATATCTCATAATGTTCATGGCTTTTGTTTTCTGTGCCTTCTTTCTCAGAATATGGGAAATAAAAAAATATGACCTTAAAAGTATGAAAGCAAATGATTTAATAGTGTAACAGAAATCTGATGAGGTCAGTCCCACGATTGGAATATAGCAGATGAAGGATACAATTTATGTTAAAAAAAAAAACCCAGTAAGAATAGAAAGGGAGAAAGAGTAGCACCATGGGTTAAAATTATGCACTCCTGCACCAAAATCCAACTTGAATAGATTTGACTGCTATAAAGTTTGTCTTGGTTAAAATAAATAGAAACATGAATAAAGACAATAATGTTGCTGGCATCTGTTGTAACTTGTCCAACAAAGGATAAAATGTAGGCGGTGCTTTTAAAGGCAAATTGCAGATTTTCCAATCTAGTCAATCACGGGAGACTTTATCACAGCATCTCTTGGAAAATCAAGTGTTCTGTCTCAGAAATGCAGGACTTGTGTTGCTGGAAACAAGGCATTTTAGAATTTGATATGTTTAGCCTTGGGAAATGACAACTGAGGAGCTTACGATAGCAATCTTCAAATACCTACCAAGGTTTCTCATTCAAGATCCTCTCTGTTTTATGTGCAGTTATAGGAAAAGAGGTTCTGCAAGAATAACGGGGGAGAAATCCTAACAGTAAGAGTTGTCGAACAATCAAACTAATCAGCCAATCTCCAGATGTGTTCAAGCAGAGTCTAGCCAGCCATCTGTCTATGATACTTTAATCTGGATTCCTACAACGATTATCTAAAGCAGTGTTTCTCAACCTGGACCGGTTTCTGAGGTGTGGACTTCAACTCCCAGAATTCCCCAGCCAGCCTTTCTCCCTGTTGCTTGTCATCTTCTTGCCACTTTCATCCACTAATGGACCAATCGTTTCCTTCACTTTTTTCTTGTTTTTTACATGTTGAAAGAAGCTTTTTTTGTTATTTTTGACTTTGGTCACAGGCCTTAGTTCATTTTGAGCCTTAGGTTTTGTCTTTGCAGGCTCTGGCTATTTGCTGATATTCTGACTTAGTTATGTGTCCTGCTTTCCACTTTCTATATTTGTCCTTTTTATCTTTCAATTGATCAGAGAGTTCTTTATGCAGCCATGCTGGTTTTTTTTGAGAGCTGTTATTTTTCCTCTTTGTTGGTATTGTGCTAGACTGGGCCTTTATTATCTCACTTTTCAAAATTTCCCAAGCCTCTTGAGTTGTTTTCCCCTGGAGGATTCTCATCCATGGAATCCTTCCCAAACCCTCTCTAAGTTTATTGAATTAGCTCTCTTGAAGTCCAAGACTCTAGTTTGACTGTGTTCTATTGCTTGTGCTTCCATAATTTTGAATTCCAATATTACATGATCACTTCCTCCCAAGGTTCCTATGGCTTCAACATCTTCTATCATTTCAATCTTTGTTAGTGAGAATTAGGTCCAAAATGGCTAATCCCCTAGTTCCCTTCTCTATTTTTTGGGAGACAAAGTTGTCTGCTAGGTTTGTCAGGAATCTGTTTGATCTTCCACTTGGTGCAGAGTTTGTCTCCCAGTTGATGTCAGGGTAGTTAAAGTCCCCCATTACTATTGTGATGTGCTTCCTACATACCTTAGTTAGCTGAATAGCAAAAAGTTCATCTATTTCCTGTGTTTGGTTGGGTGGCCTATAGTATACACCTATGGCAATGTCGTTCCCCCCCCCCCTTTATATTGATCCATATGCATTCAGGACAGTTTTCATCATTGTTGTGCTCTATTTCTGTAGGGATGTAGTTATTTCTTATATAGAGAGCAACTCCACCTCCTCTTTTATTTGGTCTGTTTCTTTTAAATAATTTAAATCTCTCTAGCTGTGTGTTCCATTTGTGGGTTTCATCCCACCATGTTTCCGTAATGGCAACAATATCATATCTACCCTCATTAACCTGAATTTCTAGTTCACCCTGTTTGCTGTTCATACTCTGTGCATTTGTGTATAGACATTTGAGTCCTTTATGATTGACCCTGTGTTTACTTCCTACATAACCTGTGTGGTATCTGAGTTCCCCTAATGTCTTACCACCTATTTGGTTAGTGCACTTTGTGTGGCACTCGCTATTAAGAGCTTGATTTTGCTTGACAGCAAGGTTGATAATTTCTTGTGCCATATCTGTTATCGGACATTGCCGATCATGTTGGCGATCCTGCTTTTATCAGCAGCCACACAAAAAAGTGCTGCTGAGTTTTGTCCAAACCAGTCCCTTAGATTTTGAAGCCGTACTGTAAGAGGCAGAACTGCTTATGTATACTTCTTGTTTTATCCACAACAGAACTATTTATTTAACCATATAGTATCTATAAGAAAGGCTCTGAATATTAAGTTAAGTATCTGGAGAATCAAGATTTATTGCCCAACCTGGCAGGAAGTCTGACAATAGAAAAGGGCTGAAAATAATATGATACTTAATGAAGATACATTCAAATGTTTCTACTTATGAAATAGAAATCAAATTCACAGGTATAAAA